TGGGCTCAAGCGAGCCTCCTGCCTCAGCCTCCCAAGTAGCTGGGACCACAGGTGCCCGCCACAACGCCAGGCTATTTTTTGGTTGCAGCCATCATTGTTGTTTGGTGGGTCCAGGCTGGATTTGAACCCGCCACCTTAGGTGTATGTGGCTGGCTCCTTAGCCACTTGAGCCACAGGTGCCGAGCCAGAAGAATGTATTTCAACTCCATCAAGGTAAATGTAAAAGATGTAAAGCCTCCATTCTTTTTAATGGCTGTATAATATTCCATGGTATAGATATACTACTGTCAGTTGGTCCATTCATGGGTTGATGGGCGCTTAGGTGGCTTCCATGGCTTGGCTATTATGAATTAAGGGAGATTTTTTTTTTTTGAGACAGTCCCACTTTGTAGCCTTTGGTAGAGTGTCATGGTGTCACAGCTCACAGCAACCTTAAACTCTTGGGCTCAAGTGATCCCCTTGCCTCAGCCTCCCGAGTAGCTGGGACTACAGGCATCCACCAGAACTCATGGTTATTTTTAGAAATGAGGTCTCGCTCTGGCTCAAGCTGGTCTGGAACCTGTGAGCTCAGGCAATCCATCTGCCTCGGCCTCCCAGCGTGCTAGGATTACAGCTGGGTCCTCTTATTCAGAATATTTTATTCAATAGCCCCAGGATTATGTTGCTCACATTTCCAGGTGGTACTGATGATGCTGATTCAAGGCCACACTTTGAGAACCATCACCCTCTAGCATAAAAAGAGGTTTGGCATGTCAGCTACACCCAACCTCTGTAGACCATTTGGGGTCCAAGTTTCAGTCACCCAAGGAGCAAACTAGAGCCACTTCCAGCCCCTGCAGCTAACACTTGAGTCTGGAATATAAATTCAGCTCAATTAAACATTAAATTGCTTCCAATTTGGTCCCTGTGTTCCCCACAACTAGCTGCCAGGATCCCTTCTCAGACCAACTCCTCACGTTTGGTCAATATGAATGGGCAATTTAAATTAATTAATTTCTTTCTTTCTTTCTTTCTTTCTTTCCCACAAAGTCTCACTTTATCCCTCTTGGTACAGCAACCTCCAACTCCTGGACTTAGGTGATTCTCTTGCCTCAGCCTCCGGAGCAGCTGGGACCACAGGTGCCCGCCACAACACTTAGCTATATTTTTGTTGCAGTTTGGCCAGGGCTGGGTTCGAACCCACCACCCTTGGGATATGAGGCTGGTGCCCTACCCACTGAGCCACAGGTGCCGCCCAAGTGGGCAATATCTTGCAATTTTTTTTTTTTTGAGACAGAGTCTCATTCTGTTGCCCTGGGTAGAGAGAGTCATGGTGTCATCATAGCTCACAGCAACCTCAAATTCTCTTGCCTCAGCTTGTCAAGTAGCTGGGACTATAGGCACAGCCATCACATCCAGCTAGTTTTTCTATTTTTAGTAGACAGGGTTTTCCTCTGGCTCAGGCTGGTCTCTGAATTCTTGAGCTCAGGCAATTCACCTGCCTTGGCCTCCCAGAGTGCTAGGATTATAGGCCCACCTCTTGCAATTCTTTGGGTGCGTTTGTACTGTTATATGACCACATCTTGCATCTTGTCCTGTGGAACTGGCTCGAAGCCGAGTCTGAATACAGATGTAGAAGCAGTGAGAGGTATGGTTTGCACCCTTAGTAGCAGGGCAGCCCCTCAGGGAAGGGTCCCAGCTGCTCAGGTGAGGAAAGGGGCTCCTTCTACTGGGAAGGGGCTCAATGGAATTGGGAATTCGAGGTCCTCAGATACAATGAAGTGGCCCATTGAGCACATGTCTCAGGATCCCACCTGCCTTCCTGTTCTCTGGGTCCCTGTCTTTGTTTAGGTGTCTGTCCCCCTCTCTCTGGGTCTCTGTTTCCCTCTCTCTGGGTGTCTGTCACCCTCTCTCTGGGTCTCTGTCCTCCTCTTTCTGGGTCTCCATCCCCCTCTCTCTGGGTGTCTGTCCGCTTCCCTCTGGGTGTCTGTCCCCTTTTCTCTCTGGGTCTCTCTCCCTGTCTCTTTGGGTGTCTGTCCTTGACTCTCTTTGGGTCTCTGTCCCCCCCCTCTGGGTTTCTGTCCCCCTCTCTCTGTGTCTCTATTCCCCTCTCTCTGAGGGTCTGTCCCTCCCTCCCTCTGGATCTCTATCCCCCTGTCTCTGTGTGTCTGTCCCATCTGGGTTTCTGTCCCCCCCTCCCTCTGGATCTCTGTTCTTTTCCCTCTCTGGATCTCTATTCTCCATGTCTCCAGCCCCCCATGTTGGGTGGATGGGAAAGTGGTCACAATGGTCCTGGGTTCTTCTTCCTGCCCCTCTCCACACTGAGTGACTTACCTTCCCTTGACAGAAGTAGGTGGTCTTTTCTCATAAAAGCCTACATTCTGACAGGAGTGACTGCAGGACCTCAACGACTCCTTCCCAGGACCTTGGTGAAATTTGATAATCTCATTCTTTCCCTTGACTGAGCCAGTCCCATTCCAACAGAGTGGGCTACTGCACTTTCTACAAAATGCTAACTTTCTTTTCTTTCCTTCCCCCCCACCCCCAGTTTTTGGCCAGGGCCGGGTTTAAACCTGCCACCTCCAGTATCTGGGGCTGGCGCCCTACTCCTTGAGCCACAGGCGCCACCCATAACTTTATTTTCTTGAATCTCTCTCACGACCCTCTGGGCCCCACGCTTGTGTTCCTCTTGGCTGGATATTTCTCTCACTTGAAACTTAGAACTAAATGAAGTGTTTGAGACAGGGTACAGTGGTTCATGCCTATAACCCTAGCACTCTGAGAGACTGAGGTGGGTGGATTGCTTGAGCTCGGGAGTTTAAGAGGAAGACCTAGCCTGAGCAAGAGGAAGACCCTGTCTCTACTAAAAAAAATAGAAAAAGTAGCCAGGCATTGTGGCAGGCGCCAATAGTCCCAGCTACTCCAGAGGCTGAGGCAAGAGGATCTCTTGAGCCCAGGAGTTTGAGGTTGCTGTGAGCTATGATACCACAGCACTCTACCCAGGGCATCAGAGTAAGACTCTGTCTCAAAATATAAAAGAATTTTTTTTTTTTTGAGACAGAGCCTCAAGCTGTCCCCCTGGGTAGAGTGCTGTGGGCCACAACGCCCAGCTATTTTTTGGTTGCAGCCGTCATTGTTGTTTGGCGGGTCCGGGCTGGGGATTCGAACCCACCACCTTAGGTGTACGTGACTGGCGCCTTAGCCGGTTGAGCTATAGGTGCCGAGCCAAATATAAAAGAATTTTAAAAATTAAAAAATAAATGGAGAGTTTGAGACTACAACTCCCAGGAAGCTGCTGTAGCTAGGGCTGACCCATGATCCCTGGGAGGCGTAGTCTAAATCTTTTCCTCCCTTTCTTCCTACCAAGAAATGACTGGAAGGACAGTATGGAAATCTGGATTGTGGGAGGGGAGTAGGCTGGGGCAACTCTCTTGTTGGGATTGAATTCCATGATACTTACTGTGCTCATGATCCCAGGTCTCCTAGCCTCCAGCCTCTGTCTAAGACCAGGGTGTCTAGGTCTTTACTCCCCTGTTCTCCTGGGACTTAGCTGTCCAGATGTCCAGCCCTCTGACTTCCTGGGACTTGAGTGCCGTCCTAACCCTCAAGGATCCAGGATCCAGGAGTCCTTGCCCCATCTCTAGGACCAAGACATCCCATTCCCACTGTTAAGCAACCTAGTAAACTATATCTCCAGTGAGGATGTGAGTCTGCAGCATTATTATCCTTTTAAAAAAATTATTATTATTGTTATTATTATTATTTTTGAGACAGAGTCTCACTATGTTGCCCTTGGGAGAGTGCTGTGGTGTCATAGCTCATAGCAACCTCAAACTCTTGGGCTTAAGTGATTCTCTTGCCTCAGCCTCCCATGTAGCTAGGACTATGGACACCCGCCACAATGCCTGGCTATTTTTTGTTGCAGTTGTCATTGTTGTTTAGTTGGTCTGGGTTGGGTTTAAACCCGCCAGCTTCGGTGTATGTGGCTGGTGCTGTAACCACTGTGCTACGGGTGCCAAGCCTAGTTTTTTTTTTTTTTTTTGCAGTTTTTGGCCAGGGCTGGGTTTGAATCCGCCACCTCCAGCATATGGGGCCAGCGCACTACTCCGCCCATAATTATTATTTTTTTATGAAGACAGAGTCTCATTGTGTCACCTGGGCTAGAGGGCTGTGGTATCAGCTTAGCTCACAGCAACCTCAAACTCCTGCCTCAGCCTCTCGAGTAGCTGGGACTATAGGCACCTACCACAACACCCAGCTAATTTTTCTATCTTTAGTAGAGAGAGGGAATCACTCTTGCTTAGGCTGGTCTGCAGCTCATGAGCTCAAGCAGTACTTCACCCTTGGCCTCCCAGAGTGCTAGGATTGCAAGTATAAGCTCCTTTGCCTGGCCTTCAGGGTCGTTTATTTATTTATTTATTTATTTTTTGAGACAGAGTTTCACTATCGCCTTGGGTAGCGTGCCATAGCATCACAGCAACCTCAAACTCTTGGGCTCGAGAGATCCTCTTGCTTCAGCCTCCAGAGTAGCTGAGACTACAGTGATGCCTGGCTAGTTTTTCTGTTTTTAGTAGAGATGGGGTTTTTCTCTTGCTCTGGCTAAATTCAAACTTCTCAGCTCAAGCTATCCACTGGCCTCAGCCTCCCAGAGTGCTAGGATTTCAGATATGAGCCACTACACCTGGCCTGTAGTGTCATTTTTTTAAGACTCCTGTTCTTGAGGTACCTCTGAGAAATAGTTCCACAGTGCTATCAGGAGGTTGGGGGTAGGGGTGGATAATAAGTCCTCCCTGTGGAAGAGCAGGGATAGTCCTAGAGCCCCTGGGTATACCTTAGCAGAGCAGAAAACAAGCCCAGTGGGAAGCTGGAGCCTAAGGGTAATTGGAGGGCTGGAAGGACATGGGGAAACAGATTTTATTTGCTCCCTCAAACACCCACACACACTCACTCTGATCCTCCTCTCTCAGACTCTTTATTATCTCAAGTAAGAAAAATAAAAAATAAATAAGATAAATAACCCAATAAATAAGGAGGAGACTCAATAACAAACAGCCGCAGCTTCAGGAAGCATAGCTGGGGCTTCGGCCCTGCGAAGGCCCCACCATGCTCAGAGGGTCCGAGGAGCCCACATCGGGGGGTTCCAGGGCCAAGATCCCCGGCAGCTCTGGGGATGCTGCAGGAGGGCCTGGCAGTGGCAGGAAGCGGGCTGGGCTCCGAAGGGATGGGCCCCAGTATGGGGAATTGGCAGGAGGCAGGTGCAGTGGGAGGCCATAGGTCTCAGACCAGTAAACGTTGTATCCATCCTCAAGAAGCAGCTCCCGGAAACTGCAGGCCTTGGGGTCAAAGTAGAGCTAGGGAACAAAGAACAAGGATCAGAGACCCTCGACTTCTCCATGCTGTCCTGCCTTAGACCCTTGGGGCTGGGCCCCTGGCCCTTCCTGCATGCAACAAAATACTGAAAAGCAGGTTTCATCCTTCACCCGAGGGCAGTTCTGCAGTGCCACCTCCCTGTCTTGATTTCACAGAGCAGCACATTCCAGAGCAGGGACCAGTCAGTGCTCTCTAAGGCCAGGCAGGGGGTCTGGCTACCACCCAAGGTCCTGATCACTTTACTGGCCATGGCTTTGGTGAGTGTCCCTGTGGCCAGGATGTGGTCAGGAGCAGAGGTTACAGAGTCACGAGACTTGGGCTTTCAGGCCACTCTGCCGTCCACACATTGTATGACTGGAGGTCAGGTGTCCCTGCCTGGGCCTCAGTTTCCTCATCTCACAAGCATCGATAACAACAGTGCCAACCTCTGGAGGTGCAGCAAGGGTGAGGCACACAGAGAGTGTGGAACCCACTCTGGATCCAGCGAATGTGCAAGACATGGAGTCCTGGATTGTCAGGATGATACCAGGACAGATGGTGGGCAAGGAGTGTCAAGAAGCTCACCGATCCATATAGGCCCCCATCTGGCCTCTGGCACAGGAACCTGGATGTCTTGACTCCCAAGATTTGAATGACCCCTGGCTTTAAAGCTTTCAGCTCCAAGAGACCTAAGGGGAGAAAGTAGTAAAGCCCTAGGAGAGCCTCCTTTTTCCATTTGTCCCAGACCCAGGGACCATGGCCCCCAGCTCTCCCACTTCAGGACCGCCTTGCCCCTACACTCACTTTCAGGGCTCTGTTGTGCAGCCCCCACCACTGTGCCATCTTCCCTGATCTCCAGGTGGGCTTCTGTCTCCTGGGCATCATCTGTGTAGAGGTACCGCTGCCGGACTTGGCCACCAAACTGGAGTAGGGGGCTGGAGTCAGGGATAGGGTGTGCCTGGCAGGCTCCCAACAAAAGTACAGCCAGCAGGGGAAACCATGGTCCTGGGTGCTTGAACCCAGTCCTGGCCTTGTCCCAGCCCATCTATGGTTCAGTCCTCAGGGGAGCTCAGGGTTGCGAGGCTGGAGAAGTTGAAGGGTCTAGAGTTCCTTCCAGATTGTGGCTGTCCCAGAGAGCAGATTCACAGTTTGCTGCTCAGGTAGCTTGAATGCCTGGGTCCTCTTGCTCGTGGATCCCCAGCTGGCAGGACATCCAGGCCTCCTGGGAGAGATGCAGAAGCTCCAGAATTTATACCCAGACAGATCCGCCCCGTCACCCTCCCAATGCCTGACTCATGATATTTGACCCACTTGGCGGGAGCCAGAATTCCACCGTGGCCAGGCAGCCTGGACGCATGATGCAATCTGGGGGTCCTTCAAGTTGGGGGCCTGGACTCTTAGGTCTAGGAGATGAGGGAGATGAGAGCCTGATTAGCTGGGACCCAGGCAATAGGGGCTTGGGTGAAGATTCCTGGGTCTCAGGGAAGATGTCGGGTCTCAAAATGCCAGGGCTGAGGGAGGAGGGGCTGGGGTCCTGGATTCCTGGGTCTGAAGGAGAGGCTGGGGGACTGGATCCCCAGGTCTGAGGGAGGAAGAGCTGGAAGCCTAGACCCTGATTCAGAGGGAAGAGGGGTTGGGGGCCCACAAACCTGGGTGTTAGGGATGAGGGGATCAAGGGCCTGGACCCTTGGGTCTGAGGGAGGAGGAGCTGGGAACCTGGACCCCTGTGCCTGAGAGAGGAGGGGCTGGGGGCCTGAAACCCTGGGTGTGAGGGATGAGGGGGTCTGGGCCCTGGACTCCTGGGTCTCAAGGAGGAGGGGCTAGGGAGCCTAAACTCTGACCCCTGGGTCTGAGGAATGAGGGGGTCATATTCTCCCTGAGACATCTGGGTCTCAGGGAGTAGGGGCTGAGGGACCCTAAACTCAGATCCTTGGGTCTGAGGGATGAGGGGGTTAGGGGCCTGGACCCCTGGGTCCGAGGGAGAATATTGGGGGGGGGGTGATAGCCTGGGCCTGCATGTCTGAGGGAGGAGGGGCTGAGGGCCAGGATGCCTGTGTCTGAAGTGGAGGGAGTAGGGGCCAAGACCCCTGGGTCTGAGGGAGGAGGGGCTGGGAGCCTGGACAATTATCTCCTTGGTTGGCTAATGCAGATTGTGGGACAGAAGTGGAATTTCTGTGACCAATCTGAATGTTTAGGTGTGGGGGCGGGGAGGGCAGTAGTCTGCCACAGGGGTTCTTCGATTTTCAGGAAAGCAGCAATTGCTGCATGAACAAAGTGTCCTTAGAAGGGAGACAAGAGTCCTGTCTTGGAAGCCTCCCACCTGGCAGTGAGCCAATCTCAACCTCACCAACCCTTACTCAGATGCTCAGACCCCAAGCATCCCAACCTCCTCCTCCTTCCTGATGCAATCCTGGTGTTTCTTTCACCAGAGAAGCTATCTCAGGCCCAGACAGGTGCTCCCAAAATAGCCTGGGGGGAGGGGTGGGTAAAATTTTCTCATTGGAGTTGGCAGTCCAGCCAGGCTCTGGAGGAGGGGAGTAAGACTCAGAGGGAAGTGGGGTTGGTTAACTTGTTGGCACCCCACTAGACCTGCCCCGCTGAGGGAGGAGGGGTTGGGGGCCTGGACCCCTGGGTTTGACGAGGAGGGGCAGGGCGCTGTGAGTTCTCAATCTAGAGAAATGTTGATCAAATCCCTGGAAAATCAGGTGAAATTCCTGAGTCTTTCTAGGACTTAACTTGAACGGAAGGGACAGACTGCTCAGGACAGGGTGAGTGGGCCTGGAGGGGGCCTCTGAATTAGGCTTTTGTTCCCGGCACCGTCTGCCCCAGCCTCTTCGGGAGGCAGGGAAGACAAATCCTGTGGTTTTCTGCGTTCAACCCTAGAATTCCCACGAAGCATGGCCTGGGGGCCTAGGGCCTAGATTTGAGCGTGCACGGTGTGGGATGGGAGATCGGAGACGCCGGCGGGAGCGAGGCATCTCCAGGCGGGGGTTTTCGCGCCGCTGCCGGAAAGCTGGAGGAGACTCCCAGTCCGCTCCTGAGCAGCCAGGCAGACTGGTTCTCCATCCTCTTGGGAGGACGCTGCAGGGGGCGGAGGATCTAAGGTCTACCCTCTCGGCGGGAGCAGGTGCGGGGCCGCCCACCTGCTGGGGCGGGGCCGGGGTCTGCGCTTCCAGGAGCCTGCGGCCGCCTCTTAACCCCACCCCAAGCGGGAGAGGGCCACGGAGCGGGACTCCAAGCGCGAGGATGCAGCGACCGCTGCTGTGAGGCCAGTAGGCTGCCCCAGGAGAAGCCGACGGCGGTAAGGAGGAGGCTGGAGTTCGGTCCCCACGTGGAGATGGCGCGGGGGTGGGGAGGAGGGCGCCGCCCTAGCCCCGGGCGCTCGCTTGGCGCCGGGTATGGGACTGGGCTCCTCCCGGCTGTACCTGCACAGCCTCGGAGGGCGGGGGCAGCCAAATTTCGCCCCTCCCTGCGCCCTGGGAGTCAGTCCGGGGAGGCTGCGCGGAAGGGAGGGCTGCGGGCTAGACGAGTTGCCTGCGGGGTTCCGGGGACGGCCGGATGTGGGCTGCTTTGGGGACGGCGCACTAAGGCCACCTCCAAGGAACTCAGGTGAGTGGAAGCTGCAAATGGCTGAGACCCGGCAGCTCCCTGGAGGTGCACCTTGCCCTAGTCCCACGAAGGCCCTAGGAGTCGCCACCACCTCTCAGCTTATTTATTTATTTGCAGTTTTGGCCGGGGCCGGGCTTGAACCCGCCACCCTCGGTATATGGGACCGATGCCCTACTCTTTGAGCCACAGGCGCCGCCCCCACCTCCCAGTTTTTGCTGTTTCTGGCACCATCATCCCTAATCGGTAGGGCCAGCCATCCTCACATGTTCTGCGCAGACTGGCGCTTCCCATCTTCTCAGGGGTCTACCTCTCACAGACGGTTCCTGCTGAGAAACGGGTGGGTGGAATAGAGTTCTATTTCATTGCACCTTACATATTGGGAGACGAGATTCCCCGGGGGGTGAGGGTGGGGGACATGCTGGAACTTGGGCACTGGTTATTTTTGAAAACACCACTGGCTCACCTCTTTTATTCCCATCACCATCCCCTGAGATTCCAAGCCTCCCATCCCACAGACTTGGAATTCAGGCTCTCAGCCTTCTCTATCTCAGCCCCAGGGGCCCAAACCTGTGGACTTACTCCTGCCGAACTGAGGGAGAAGGGGCTGGGGACTGGGACCCTGAGTCTGAGGGGGGAAGGGCAGGGGTCTGGACCCTGGATCTGAAGGAGGAACTGAGTTGTTCTGGACCCCAGGCCTCTCCTCCCTGACATTCTTTTCAGGCTCTGAGTATGGGCTAATGTCCCTTTCCTCCCTTGCAGCCATGTGGCTGGCCAGACATCGGCATCTCTGTCTGGCCTTCCTGCTAGTCTGTGTCCTCTCAGCAATTTCCTTCCTCCATTTTCATCAAGACATCTTTCGACACGGCCTAGACCTGTCCATTCTGTGTCCAGACCGCCACCTGATGACAGCTCCAGTGGCCATCTTCTGCTTGGAGGGTACACCACTGGACCCCAACACCTCCACTTCCTGTCCCCAGCACCCTGCCTCCCTTTCAGGAACCTGGACTATCTACCCAGATGGTCGGTTTGGTAACCAGATGGGGCAGTATGCCACCCTGCTTGCCCTAGCCCAGCTTAATGGCCGCCCAGCCTTCATCCTGCCAGCCATGCATGCCACCCTGGCTCCTGTGTTCCGTATCACCCTGCCTGTGCTATCACCGGAAGTGGACAGCCACACACCTTGGCAGGAGCTGCAGTTGCATGACTGGATGTCAGAGGAGTATGCCCACTTGAGTGATCCCTTCTTGAAGCTCTCTGGCTTCCCCTGTTCTTGGACTTTCTTCCACCATCTCCGAGAACAGATCCGCAGGGAGTTCACCCTGCACGACCACCTTCGGGAAAAGGCTCAGAGTTTACTGAGTCAGCTCCGTCTGGGCCTCACTGGGGACCGGCCGAGAACCTTCGTGGGTGTCCACGTGCGCCGTGGGGACTATTTGCAGGTTATGCCTCAGCGCTGGAGGGGTGTGGTGGGTGACCAAGCCTACCTCCAGCAGGCCATGGACTGGTTCAGGGCACGGTATGAAGCCCCTATTTTTGTGGTCACTAGTAATGGCATGGAGTGGTGCCGGGAAAACATTGACACCTCCCAGGGTGATGTGTTCTTTGCTGGCAATGGACAGGAAGGTGCACCAGGGCAGGACTTTGCTTTGCTCACACAGTGCAACCACACCATCATGACCATTGGCACCTTTGGCTTCTGGGCTGCCTACCTGGCAGGTGGAGATACTGTCTACCTGGCTAACTTCACCTTGCCAGACTCTGAGTTCCTAAAGATTTTTAAACCTAAGGCTGCCTTCCTGCCTGAGTGGGTGGGCATTAACGCAGACTTGTCTCAACTGTAGACATTTGTAGGACCTTGAGAGCCAGAGAAACATCCTAGAATAGCCTGAGCATTCCAGAGCCAGTAATACATGTTTCCAGAGGCCCAGCACATTCTGGAGAAGTTTGTAGTGGTCTTGGAGCAGGTGGGCACCCATTTCCAGAGTGAGTCTAGTTGGGCAGACTAGGAGAGAAGGGGAAGCTTTCTGGAACTGCCTGAACATCCTAAATGCAGCAGAATATCTTTGCCTGATAGCTGGCAATGTCTGGAGAAGCTCTTGGAGTTCTAGAAGCTACAGTACCTACCCTGCTCTTTCCAGCTCATATTTAGAATACTTCTAGATGGCAGCCCTCAGGAACAAGGAATCCTTCCTCCAGTGGCTATCATCCTGATCTTTCTAGAAGAGGTGTTATTTCTTCCCTGGGTCCTCAGAATCCTGAAGGAACTCATGGTGGGTATAGATCTAACACCTGTGAAGAATCCTGCAGGACCCTATCAGAGGGGATGGGGTTCTGGAATTCCAGAAAACTTACGTGAAGAATCTAATGAATGTACAACCAGAAGCTCAACACCCCATTATTGCCAGGAAGATTGAGATAGAAGATTCAAACTATCTTTAGCTGGCCAACATCTTGCTATGCTCACAGGCTCTGGAAAAGCTGGGGTAGTTGGTGAGCAGAGTGGAACTCTAACTCCTCAGCCCCTAAAAATGTCTCAAGGACTTTTGGGGAGGGGGGAAAGGAGGTAGTGGACAGGCAAGGATGTGGAAATGGGGAGGCTGATAGCTGCAGAAATGCTGCAGCTTCTGGAGCAGAACCTTTCAGAGATCCACAGACATTTTTTTTAAGCTCAAAAACTGCCAAAGACAGAAACTGTATGTTAAATCCAAGTTTGGATTGCCTCTCAGGGTTAAGGAAACTTGAGGTGGGCTACTGGGGGTCTGGGATCTCTTTCTGGGGAAGTCAGCAGGCATAAACATACCCTCATGGGCTTGCATAAAGCCAGGAGGTATTGTGCTCCTTGCCAGCCATTGTCTGCTTCTGAACTCCTAGAACCACTAAATGTGGCTTTGGCCGATCTGGGATAAGAGGATGTAGCCTCAAACCCAGACAGGAGGACTGGGTCTGGTCAAGCAGGACAGGATCCTTGATGCAGATTGTAGGAGCCCCTTTCTACTCTTTGAAGGGTGAAGGAAGATACCTTTAATACAATCAAGTCTGATCAAGTCTGATTATATCCCCCATCCATGCATCAAAGAACCCAAGTCTCTATTTTTTTTTTTGAAGGTTTCATATGTACTTTATTTCTTCAATAATGCTATAGTTTAATGAGTACACGGTGCTTTTACTTGGCATCAATTGTAAGTTGGTTCTGAAACAATTCAGTATTACACCAGCTGGAATGATTACTGGTCTCTCCCCATTCCTTTGGGGTTATTCTGCCAACAGGAGACAGATTCCATTCTATTCCGATTTGTGTCACTGCATATGTCCATACAGCAATGCAGAAAATTGCTCTGTGAGTGAATACATACTACATTTATCATGAAAAATCAGGTGTTCATTTCTGGTGACCCTTGCCATTGTTTGCTGAATGTTTTGAACTTGGAGACTACTTAGTGCATTCTTGGCCATAATGAAATTGAAAATGGAACTGCCGTAACTTCAGGTGCTGCTTTGGTGCAAATGGACTTCAGGTCCCAAGTCTCTATTCTTCTCAGGGAGTTTCAGGGCACTGTTCCCAACTCAGCCACCACAGGTAGGAGAGTGGGAGGTGTGAATTAAAAGTCTACATCACCAACCCATCTCGGCAGCTTTTTTGGAGCTGTGTGCGTGTGTGTGTGTGTGTGTGTGTGTAAGAGGAAAAGCTGGGCAGCTTCCAAGGACTTTCATTAATTGTGATGTCTTAGGGTGTCGTCCCTACTCCGATCTGGCAGTCCCTTGTTGCTAGACTTGTGTGAGCTGTGGTCCCTGTTCTGATTCCATTTCAACCACAAAGAAAAGTAAGAAGAGACCTTCCAAGATCCAAAAGTCTGAGCTTCTCTGGGACCCTCAGTATTAGCCCTCAGCCTTTTCTTCTTTCAGAAGTTTCCATGTCCAGATCCATAAGCTGGTGAGAGAAGGTGGAGAAGCGGGTAACTGTTTAGCGTAAACATTGAACTACATTTCCCACAAAGCTAAGGGATTGGTGGCGCTAATCTACTGTGAAGAAAGCCTCATGGCCTTCTGGGAGTTGTAGTCCTGGGGTTAAAACACCAGCTTCCCGTATCTCTGTAGCTCCGCGCCAGTTTCCAAAGGGCCGGGAGCATTACAGCCGAAAGCCTCGATCCTGGGCCATGGGAAGGAGGGAAGCTAAATGCCGGAAGCCAAGACCCTGGCTCTGGGAGCCGGAGCACACAGGTAACTGTCCCCCTTCAGTAGGTACTGGGAAAGTTCTAGTGAATCTAGTCTGAAAAGGTGGCAACCTCTGTGACGTTTGAGGGAGATGGGCGGAGCCTCCCTTTGTTGCAGTCCAATCCTACTCAGATTTGAGCTTCTGGGCGGGGCCAAGGAAAACCCAAGAGACTCTCAGGAAATTAGGACCCTCACGCGGGAAGCTCTCGAAGAGGGAGGCTACCGGAGTTTTCTTGTAGAAAGGGGACCTTCCATGACTCAGACCCCAGTGGAAAACTCTCTACTCCACGCAACCAACCCCAGTTTCGCCCCAAACAAAATCTGTAATTTTAGCCGTGGGAGAAATATTAGAGGACCCCAGCTTCCTCTTTAAAAGCTCTCAGAACCTGGACTGGGCTCCTCAGCGAACCATAGTTGTGTGAGGGCGCCACATTAAGTCAGGGATCAAGGTCCGGGAACAGCTGTTTCGGGTGCATGGCTGTTCAGGGTGCATGGGCGCTCCTGTTTCCTAAGAAGGGTGTGCCCTGCAAATTGAGGGCCCATTAGCCTTGAGGAAGGGTATACAAGGGTGGTATGAAATCTGGCAAAAGTGTGTAGCGTCCTTAGGTTTGGGGATTCCGGGTCTGTTTGGGTTTTGAGAAAGTTCTGAGTTTGATGATATCCCAATTGGCTCTGTATGGAATAGTTTATTTCGTTTGGGCAATTGAGTTTTCAGTTTGAAGTTCAACAGGTTTTAGGAACTGGGCTGGAGGACGCGACTGGGGGTTCCTCTGTTGGTAATACTTAAAGTTTGGAGTTGGGAATCACATCAGTTTGGGGAACTCGCAATCCCATACTTTGGGAAGGGGTGTATGGGGTGGGGAGTTTGAGGTCCTAAACTTGTGGACTGGCGAGTGCCTCTTTTTTAATAGTTTGCTTATTTCTCAGTTGGAATGCAACGAGGACTCTGAATTGGGAGTTACCTGGAGTGGGGATTCAGTTTCATACTTTGGAGGCATTTGATGAAGGATGTATTTGGAGATTTCCTGAAGATCCTCATTTAGTCATTTTGGGACCTGGTGGGGGAGGGTGTCTAGTGGGGCTGCCTGAGATGAGCTTTGGCTTCTCTTTGTTTAGAGTTCACCTGCTCTTGGTTTAGAGTGAGAGGACCCTTCCTGGTGGTCTTCAAAGACTGCGGCTCTGGTTGCAATGAGGCCAAATTTTGCCCTCCTGTTGGCAGCTCTGGCTGGTTGCCTGCTCTCTGCTGGGGCCTGTGTCATATGTAGCCCCTCGGTCCAGGAGGCCCTAAAGTCCTTGGAAAGAGATTACCTGCCTGGCCACCTGGATGTTCGTCTTCGCAAATCAGTGATGAGCAAGTTGGTGAAGTCACTAACCGCTTTCAAGGATTTGCCATTAAATGAGGCATCTTTTATGGGGGTCATTGGTGAGGGCAGGGCAGAGAGCACACTCTTGGGTCCTGGGAAATGAGAGGGCTGGAGCCAGGGGGAGGAAGGGGCTGGGAACAGGATCTCCTGGGTTCAGCAAAGGAGAAGGCTCTGATCCAGATTCTGGGGTTCCCTAGAGCTAGTAAATACTGTTTTCCTTACCCCTTATCTGACAATTTTATGTACAACTCTCAGAAGGCAATGGGTGACTAATCCTTAACCAGCCCTACCCTTGCCCAGTGGCCTCATGTGTATTGTAGTTTCTTTTTCTTTCTTTCTTTCTTTCTTTCTTTTTCTTTTTTTGAGACAGGAGTCTCATTTTGTTGCCCTTAGTAGAGTGCGGTGGCGTCATAGCTCACAGCAACCTCAAAATCTTGAGCTCCAGCAATTCTCTTGCCTCAGCCTCCCGAGTAACTGGGACTACAGGCACCCGCCACAACGCCTGGCTATTTTTTAGAGACGGGGTCTCGCTCTTGCTCAGGCTGGTCTTGAACTCATGAACTCAGGCAATCCACCAGCTTCGGCCTCCCAGAGTGCTAGGATTACAGGCATGAGCCACCTCACCCAGCCCTTGTATTGTAGTTTCTAAGGCTAGGTGAGCCCATGACAATAATGCTGGGATCTGGGGTTCTATGTGTCCCCCCCCCCCCCACAGATGAGACCACATTGGAAAAGGCATCCTGGAGTTTGCTGAAAGATCTGAAACGCATCACAGACAGTGATGTAAGCGGTAAATAGACCAAGGTCATCGGGAGCTTCAGAATCTCTCAGGGTAGCCATCGCTGGTGATTTGTAGTCTTTTGGTCAGAGGCTAGGCTCTCTAGAGCCAGACTGCCTAGGTTCAGATTCCAGCTCTGCCACTTCCTAGTTGTGTGGCCTTGAGCAAGGAACTTTGAAGCTTCTTTGACTCTAAAATGTTCTAAAAGGGAGGGAGGGCATGCAGTAGCGTAGTCCTTCAGTTGTGCAGATTAAATGTGCATTGCTTATCCTAGTGGCTGGCATTATGTTAAGTGGTTAATTATGGTGCCCTTCCCTGAGAGGGCCAGACCCTGGAATGTCAGGCTCTGCAGACAGAGGCAAACATCAGCACCTCATACCTGGGATTGGGGATGGGGCATCGCTGCACCATTCTGTTTTTTTTCCCAGATGACCACTTCGTGAGGGAGCTACTCTGGATGTTAAAGCTGCAAAAGGAAACCTTTACCAAATATGTGGCTCAGTTCCAAAAAGAGGGTGAGGGAAGATGGGAGTCAGTGTACCCAGCTCCCTCCTTCCACAACCCAACAGTCCCTATCTTCACCCCTTTACTTACCTCCCTGAACCCAGTTCCCCAACTTCCTGCTCCCTCAGATCCAAATCTTTCACCCTGAAACCCAAGAGCCCAAACTCCTGCTTTTCCTTCAACTCAGTCTTTCCATTTTCTTTAATTTAGAAATCTGACTGCCATTTCTGTCTTTCTCCTTTTTCCCTTCTGAGGCAGCTTTTTGTCCCAACAAATGTGGTAAGTCTGGATCATGGAAGCTAGCCCTCTGCCCCTCAGCCTTGCCCCATGAATACTCAATCCTCTCCTTCCCCTTTTTGGTTCCTGGTATTTTTTTCATTCTCCACATCTGAGAGGTTCCTGGACCTCCAGTGTTCTTTCTCCACCTTCGATTTCTTGGAAAGTGGGTTGTCTTCTATTTACACTCTTCACTGAGCCTCCTGCTTCCTACCCAGGTATGTTCTGGCCCTGACCCTCCAAAGGATTTAGCAGATGACCAGTCCCCTGCCCATAGCCCAGCCTTCTCCCTTTAGCCCTGCCCCTTCGCTGGTAAATGCAAGCTTTGACCCTGCCCCTTCAGGTGTTATGTTGCAGGCTGTGATCTGGTGCAACCACTGCCAAAAGCAGATTCATCCTTGTCGAAAGTCTCCTGATTGCGGGGGTGAGAGCTGCACCCAGGAGGAGGGGTTGCTGAAGAGGGGTGGGGTGAGACAGGAACTGAGTCTAGAGAAAAGATGGAGAGAGCAGATAAGAAAAGGCAGGGGTTCAAACCAAATGGAAGGGATATAAGGGAGGGCAAATAACCATGAAGGAGTGTCCCACAGTCATCCCTCATCCCCAGAACGCAATGTGGAGGTCCATGAAATGGAAGATATGATCCTGGACTGTGAGTTAAGCTGGCATCGGATGTCTCAAGGCCTCTCCAATTACAGATTTTACAGGGTGGGGTCCAACTCCTGTAACCTTTGAACTCTCTAGTCTATCATGTGAGCTCCTTGGCCCCTGGATCCACTCGCCTGCACCCACAACCCTCATGACCCGTGAGCTACTAGCTGTGGTCTCTACTGACTGCTGGGAACCCCATTCCCTGACCAGTGACACCCTACACCAAGGCCCCGTGATCTTCTCACCCCTGTACTCCCCCAATCCCTGAATTCCCCAGGCCTCTGTGACCCCTTGAGCTTGGGTCTAGGTTTGGGGGAACAAATCTGAGACTTTGGTGTCCGACGGAAAAGAGCCCACCCTGACCAAACCCATGGTGGGTGCGGAGGATGCAGGCAATTACCGCTGCGAGTTGGGCTTGGTGAAGTCCAGTCCAGCCACGATCATTCACTTTCATGTTACAGGTCAGTCCTGCGGGGTTAAGAGTGGGAGTCTGAGCCCAGGGAGTTAGAGGCCAGTTTCAGGGGCGTGACTTCCTGTTGGGCGTGGTTTCAGGCCAAAGGGTTCCCGCGCACAGGGTCCCCTTAGGTGTGTTCTGGCTTCACGCAATTGGAGGCGAGATTATCGCCTGGAGAGCTGGGTACCGGGACGGCTTGCTTTTGCCCTTCTGGGACTGCTTTCTGTCACTTTTCCATCAGTGTTGCCCAAAAGGTCCCTGGTGGAGACACCATCACCAACCACTGCAACAACAGCAGAGGGCATGACGACCTCGGAGTTGTCCACACCCCTTCTGTCTTCGAAATCCGATGATATGCTGAAAGACCGCCTTGCCGGGCTGCTGATGTGGATCTCGCTGGTGCTGATAGTTTGCCTCGTCTTAGCGTGAGCAACCCACCGGCTAAGGCGGACTTGGAATGAGGGGTTGGGGTTTCCTGGTTCCCAACGCAGAAGCAGGTCTGCACTTAGGACTTCCACTTGGGGTGGGGCTTATTTAGGAGGGGGACTCCGGAGGGCGGAGCTTAGGTAATTGCAAAAAAGGTCAGATGGGAGGCGTCTGGGAGGGGTGTCCCACACTAAGTTGGTACCTAATCTCCTTTCTCCCCCAGCATGTTTTGTCGAAAGAAGGTGATAGATTACATAACACTTAAACTGTGCGGCGCTAACCAAGAAGAGGAAAAGAAATCCCAGGGTTCATCATCTCGGGCTCCATCACGGGCTCCATCTCAGGCTCCATCTCAGGCTCCATCTCAGGTTTCATCCAGGGTTCCATCCCAGGTTTCTTCAACCCAGGTTCCAACGAGAACATCCTCAGACTTAAAGAGCGAATAAAGATTCATCTTGTTTAAGTATCTGACTCACTCCTCCAGACTGATCCTAACTTTTGGTATCCTGAAAAGAGAGGCTGGGGGATGGGCTCCTGCCTGAGGGAAGAGGGGCTGAAAATGAGGACCTCTGGGTCCTGGAGGAGTCCAACTGACTGCGAAATGATTCCAGAAGCAAGGAATCAGGCAGATCCTGCCCCTACCCTGATCTCCTCCCCCAGGCCTGGTCTCCTCACAGGACACCCCCTCCCCGCTCTTCCTGCCGGGTTTCCTCTTGCTTTTCCTGTCCCCCACCCAGTTCTGGGAGCTGGGACAGAGGCAAAGGCTAAACAAGAACAGTGGAACTACCCCGGCCAGTGGAGCTAGGGCCTCCCGGTGCTGCCAGACCCAAAGCAGGGTAAGAGCCAGGGGCCCAGGAGTCCAGCCACCTATTCCCTTGGATGCTAGAGTCAGCCCCTGGCCATCTCCCATCCCAGGACCCAGGAGTCCAGGGGCCCATCCCTCTCCTCCACCTGTACTCAAGAGCCTGAGCCCAATAAACTCCCACTCAGGGGTCCAGGTTTCTTTTATCCCATTCTCACACTGAGTGCCTTAGGAGTTGGGACTATACCCATTGCTCCCTTAGGGCCATGCTGTCTGGTGAACGGAAAGAGGGCGGAAGCCCCCGCTTTGGGAAGCTCCATCTCCCTGTGGGCCTGTGGATCAATTCCCCCAGGAAGCAGCTGGCCAAGCTGGGGCGGCGCTGGCCCAGTGCTGCCTCTGTCAAGTGAGTGCCCATCGCCACAGGATTCCTGCCCCTACCCTCCTGCCTTGCATCATTTCTGGCTTATGGTTCAGTCCCTGCACCAGGGCATGCCAGGGACCCTGAAAGGGTTGGCTCTGGTTATTGCACTGTATGGGCAAGTGAGATGGTGGGCAGGGGGAGACGGTGGGAGGGTGGGAAGATGGGCCAGGAGATGGAGTTAGGTAGGATGGGAACACAGAAGGTGCAGGCGTTTGATTCACCTCCCTCCCTGCTCACCTCTTGGAATTTCCTCTTGTGGGACTCATATTTATTTATTTATTTCTCTTTCTTTGCCTCCTGTCTCTGCCCACCCCTGATCTCTGCCCACCTCTTCACCCCGGGTCTCTGCTTCCTTTTCTTTCTGGGTTCCTGTCCCTCTTTCTCTGGATCTGTACCCAACCTGTCTCCTAATCCGTCCCACAACCCCATTTTGATGTGTCCTTCCGGGTCTCTCCCGCGACCCTGTTCCCTGGCGGACTCCCAGGTCTTCGTCTTCGGACACGGGGAGCCGCAGCAGTGAGCCACTGCTCCCACCCCCACCGCACGTGGAGCTGCGGCGAGTGGGCGCAGTCAAGGCAGCCGGAGGAGCTTCTGGTAGCCGCGCCAAACGTATCTCCCAGCTCTTTCGGGGCTCGGGGACTGGGACTACTGGGTCTGGCAGTGTGGGAGGCCCTGGGACTCCCGGGGGCGCGCAGCGCTGGGCCAGCGAGAAGAAGCTGCCTGAGCTGGCAGCGGGTGTGGCCCCCGATCCCCCATTAGTCACCCGCGCCACGGCGCCCCCGGGGGTCCTCAAAATCTTCGGCGCTGGACTGGCGTCGGGCGCCAACTACAAGAGCGTGCTGGCCACAGCGCGCTCCACGGCGCGGGAGCTCGTGGCCGAGGCGCTGGAGCGCTATGGTCTGGCGGGCAGCCCCGGCAGCGGCCCGGGAGAGAGCAGCTGCGTGGACGCCTTCGCGCTGTGCGATGCCCTGGGTCGGCCGGCGGTGGCCGGCGTGGGCAACGGCGAGTGGCGGGCAGAGCACCTGCGTGTGCTGGGCGACTCGGAGCGCCCGCTGCTGGTGCAGGAGCTGTGGCGGGCGCGGCCTGGGTGGGCGCGGCGCTTCGAGTTGCGAGGCCGCGAGGAGGCGCGCCTCTTGGAGCAGGAGGCCTTCGGCGCGGCGGACAGGGAAGGTGAGTCTGTGGGCCCGCTCTGGGGCGGGGCCTGCAGGGCAAGAAAGTAGGGGCCCGGGTGGGGCGGGCCCCGACTCAGGGGGCGGTGCCTCGGAGGTTGCTGGGCGATACTCGTAGGACCGGGTCAGCAGGAGCACGGAGCCAGATCAAGGCGGGGATCAGCCAGCTGGGCGGGTCTGAGAAGTGGGTCCTTAAACTACGGCCCGCGGGCCACATGCGGCCCGCCTAGGACATTTATCTGGCCCGTCGGGTGTTTTTGCCGCCGCTGCCTGTCCTGCCTAGCAGCCCACTCGTCCCGGGGCCCAGTCCCGCCTTCAACGGTCTGAGGGACAGTGAACTGGCAGCCTGTTAAAAAGTTTGAGGACCCCCGAGCCTGATAGTAGGGTGGGATTTTTCCAGGGGCGGGGTTTGAGGCTCGGGCGGGGCTGGCCTGGTGGCTGATGGTGATTGGCAGTGTCCTAGAGTGGATCCGGACTGGGGTCAGGACCTTCAGTAGACATTTCAGACTGCCTTGGATGAGGCTGAATGTGTAGCGGGGCCTGCAGAATAGTGAATCCCGGGGAGCGTTTTTGGATTCTGGGAGCAGGGCAAGCCTGGCAGGAGGGGCAAGGATAGGCAGGATTCTGAGGGATGCAGAGGATTCGGCCTGTGTGTTGGGGAGAACTAGAACTGGAGGAGTACCATAGAGGATGTCCTCCAGGGCTGCGCAGAGCCTATAGGCGGAGCCTGTGATACTGGAGCGGGGTCTGCAAAAGAGACAGGCATGGAGGCATAGGGCTGGTGAAGCAAGGTGGCTCATGGTGGCAGATGAGGCGTGGGTAACTGTAGTAGGAAGCCAATCTGCAAAGTAGATTGAGGTGGTTTTCTAGGGGCAGGGTTTATGTTGGTGGAGCCTACAAGGGGAAGGAAATGGGAGCAGGGGAATCTGCTCATAGGTCTAGCCTGGAGGTCCTAGGAGTGGGCAGAGCCTCAGAGGGGCTGGCCTTGGATCAGGTGGCCTTAGGCTAGGTTGGCTCCAAAAGTGGGCACTTGGGAAAGGAAGGGGCTAGAGAAAGAGGTATTTGTAGAGGCTAAGAAAGGTTATACCACAATGAAGCCTGGTTTCTGAAAAGACCCGGCCTAGAACAGGAGGTGGTGTCAAACATCATATGGCAAGAGCTGGGCACCTGTGGCTCAAGTGGCTAAGGTGCCAGCCACATACACCTAAGCTGGCGGGTTTGAATCCAGTCTGGGCCCACCAGATAATGACAGCTGCAACCAAAAAATAGCTGGGCGTTGTGGCTGGTGCCTGTAGTCCCAGCTACTTGGGAGGTGGTTGCAGGAGAATCACTTAAGCCCAGGAGTTGGAGGTTGCTGTGAGCTGTGATGCCACATCGCTCTACCCAGGGAGACAGCTTGAGGCTCTTTCTAAAAAAAAAAAAATTAAAAAAGATCATATGGCAAGTGTTGGACAGAGCCTGGCAGGGATGGGGCCTGGCACATTGAGGACCTTCACTGCTCAGGAAACTCTCTAACTACTTTCCTGTTTCTGAGTCATCCTTTGGGAGATAGAATGTTGTTATCTATTAAACTCATTGGTTTTGAACTCAGGCTTGGATTCCAATGTGTTCTTTGCTAGTTAATCTCAGCAAAATCCTGGTGAGGTGTCAATGGAATATACATATGTATATACCACACGTACCTATATATACACACATGGTATATACACACATGCTTGGTACATAGTAGGTACTTAATAAAGAATGGCGCCGAGTCAGGAGAATTGCTTTCAACCAGGGGTTCAAGACCAGCCTTAGCAAAAGCAAAACCCCATCTCTACAAAAACAGAAAAATTAACTGGTTGTGGTGGCAAGTGCCTGTATTCTGAGCTACTCAGGAAGCTGAGGCAGGAGGATCACTTGAACCCAGGAATTTGAGGTTTCTGTAAGCTACGATGATGCCACTGCACTCTAGCCCAGGCAACAGAGTGAGACTTTGTCTCAAAAAGAAAAATGGCAATTATAATCAGCAACTTACCCCCTCCCCCCAAAAAAGTGTTCATTGGCACCTACTATGAACTACATATTTTTTTAGGGCCCTGAGAAATACAGTGGGGACACTCACAGGTAAGGCTCCCACATCACAAGGCTAGTGGGGAACACATCAGATCGTTCATTTGGCTCATTTCTACTAGGTGCCTACTATGTGCCGAGCCTGTGCTGCTCCAAACAAAGCCCAGAGTACCTGGTGGTGCAGTTACCTGCTTCAACATGGACTGTCAGGGAAGGGTGTTCAGGAGTTGGTTTTTATCATCCTGAGGGCAGGGTCTTCTCTGTTACCCAGTGCCTAGAACAGTCCCAGGCACACAGTAGGTGCTCAATAAAAACCTGTTGCAAGAATGAATGAAATTTCGGTGCTGAAAGCTGCAGAAAGGGTAGCATCCAGGCAGGAAATGTGCTTCAGCCATAAAGAACACCATGCGCAAAAGCCTAAATGTGGGAAGCAGCCTCTTCTGCATGAAGCCTTGTTCTTAGTCTCCTGGTAATTTCTCTGTGTAAATCTGTAAGTTCAGCCTCTGTCTTTCGGCAGGCACTGGCGCCCCTTCGTGGCGGCCGCAAAAGAACCGCTCCCGGGCGGCGTCAGGTGGGGCGGCGCTGGCCAGTCCTGGTCCAGGGTCGGGATCAGGGTCCTCGACTGGGTCCGGAGGCAAAGAACGCTCTGAAAACTTGTCCCTGAGGCGAAGCGTGTCGGAGCTTAGCCTGCAGGGTCGGCGGCGGCGGCAGCAGGAACGCAGGCAGCAGGCACTTAGCATGGCCCCAGGAGCAGCCGACGCCCAAATCGGACCTGCAGACCCCGGGGACTTCGATCAGTTGACTCAGTGCCTTATCCAGGCCCCCAGCAACCGCCCTTACTTCCTGCTGCTCCAGGGCTACCAGGACGCCCAGGTGAGTGCTGCCTCCCCTATCGAAAGAGCCCTGTCGGTGCCTGTGACTCAGTGGGTAGGGTGCCGGCCCCATATACTGAGGGTGGTGGGTTCGAACCCGGCCCTGGCCTAACTGAAACAAAAATATAGCCGGGCATTGTGTCGGGCGCCTGTAGTCCCAGCTACTCGGGAGGCTGAGGCAAGAGAATCGCCTAAGCCCAGGAGTTGGAGGTTGCCGT